CCTTTAGTTTTGCCAATAAAGGAACTCACCACAAAAAAAAACCTAATTGGTTTAAGCTGGACTGTCTGGCAAGAATTAGGTCATGTCTGCACTAGCTGGCATACAGGTTGCATTGAATGCACACAGAAATGTAGGCCAGAGTAGGGAGGCTCAGCAAAGGGGCCTCATAAATTTGTACTCCTACAGGAATTTGTACATCACATTCACATACCTAGGCAACATCTAGAGACATTTTCATTTGGGGTGTGGCATGACAAAGATGGACTTATGTCAAAATGTTCAGGTAAACATTTCCTTGTTTTTATATTCACCTGTAAGAACCTGTAAGAAGCATATTTCTAAATTGCTTTTCTGCGATACATCTTGAAATTACAGTGGCATTGGACATGCATACCAAATGAACTATTATTCTAAGAACTTGACATGTCTATTTCTTTTTGTTTAGTTGAAAGTGTCACTGTGCTTGGCAGCAGATTTTGGAATTTAGAAGAAAAAAAAAATCCTGTTTGTGTGCATTATGTACGATCATAATCTTCAGCAGTCGTATAATAGATTAAGGGAATCACATGACAGGTATGTAATGTTTTGCATCACATATATCAAGCCGTGCACTGTATGAGAGCGATGCGTTTGGAGACATGTTCGTACTTGTTTCCTACCTGACTGATGAGCTGATTTTGTTCTGATATATGCTACATTTGTCCGCAGCCGTCGTTCGCAAGCTTTAGGTGGATGTTCATGTAGGCTCTGTGGGATCAACAGTTATTGCGTGCATGTTAATGACCAAAATGGGTCGTTAGTCTTTCCAGCATGTCTAATAATAATCTTGCAGACTCACCACTTTCAATGACTAGGATTTGCATTAGATCACTTGTGTTCTTATGGGGAAATGTACAAATGATACGTACTAGCACCTAGGTCAGAACACATCGCTAATGTAATGCAGTGTGTATTACAGCCACACCTTCAACATCAAGATATTTTTTTTAACGGAAATGCAACATGATTTTATGTTTTTATGTACCTGTATGCCACATGCTAATGAGTGATTAGTGCATGTTCATGTGTCTTCATGTGTAGTGTACAATTTCAGGACAGTCTGATTAAACTACTTTTAAAAAAAATGATTGACATATAAATACATATGCTTTGCAGTGCATTCTTAATTTGAATGCATATATGTTCCTTTGTTATTGAAGCATGATAAATTGACTAGAAGCTTGATACTTGCAGTGCTAATTGGATCAAAGAATCGGCAATAAACTGTTACATTTTAATGTTACTTTAGATATGATGTCGGTATGAAATACCCCCTGAGCAACGATTGTTGACATATTGTGTGGTGTGCGGTTTCCAATTCATCAGGTTAATTTGTCAATTTATGTAAATACAACTCCATAATAGCCAGCTGTTGGATTTAAGCTGCACGTTCAATGGTACCACAAATATTTGGTATGCGGTTAACCGCAACATAGCTGGGAGAACCACATCATAGCTGGGACAACCGCAAGTTAATCATGGAGAAAAAAAGAGGAAAATCCAATGGGACATGCATTGCGTGTTAGGTGGGATGTTCCTGCAGTGTCATGTTCTAACATGTTGAGAGAGATCAAATGTGCTTGGTTATTGTCCATGTTGTTTTTAGCAGTATGTTTCAAAGTACATGCATAGGAGTGAAGGTGCGCGAATGCACAGACGCATGAAACAATGCTGTACACAATTGCATAACTGCTAAGCTATGACAAGACATACACAGACTCATTTCACTTTTATCTCTTGATTTCATAAATTCTGAATTAGGAGGAAATGGAAAAAAGTGGTCTGGAACTTAAGCAAAATAAACATTTCAAAACAAACAACAGTTACAAGATCTGATATTTTTAGAAAATTTTCAGAAAATAATATTTAAGTTAGCTTTCCACCAAAATGTATTTAATGTTATTAAATTTATTGGTGTGGTTTATGTTGAGAAAAAAAAATGCGATCAATCATAGACGAACAAGTTGTTTTTTTTTCCCGCAGGATTTATGCTTTTTTATTTTTTAATACACCGGTATTTTAAAATTTAAACCCCATTGTGCCAGCACAAAACCAGAACCATACATGCTTCTGGGCAGGCATAAGTGTGGGCTTACATTAACAATGACATAACCTGTGTCTAGGAATAGAGAGTGCCTTGTCTATTACCCTAACAATAGATGGCATACCACCATGTCTGACACTACTAACAACTAAAGAATTATGGCTCCTGTGAGTGCGTGACCTCATTCAAAGGTCGCTGTCTAGACAGGCTCCACTCTTTTTTTCCACTACCTCTTTTGTTCCTCACTCTTTCCTGTTTTTTTCCTTTCCCTTTGCAGTTTTTTTAGTACCTGCTTGCCTGTTTTCTAGACTGTTCTTTGCCGAAGACTTTTGGTTCCCTAAAAATAGAGAAAAAAATGCAAAAGGATCAGATTATAAGGTCCTGCAGATTTCATTTCCAGTCGGCTCGGGTGAATGCCTGTCTCTCTGTGGAGGCAATCGGCAGTCAAAAAGGAACAATTAAGAAGTTCCTGGAGGTCTGCGTTCTGGCTTGGCTCTCTTTTCCCCCAAAAGACTGGCGTAGAGCACAGGTGTGTGTCTTCAACCAAAAAGCCCCCCCCCCAAAAAAAAAAATCACCAAGTTGGAATTTGTTTAAAATATAAACATACATGAAATGATGAAGCATAATGAAATCTTGGATGAAGCCCAGAATCGCCTTCCCTTATTGGCCTGTTCCCCTATTGTATATTTTAATAATAAAGCTCTTTGATTTGGATGAATATTCATCACCATTAGCGTTGCAATAACCAACAGCGGTCACACGTACAGTATCTGAATGCAATTTTAAAAATGGAAACAAAATTCCCAAGGTGGCCTAATAATGTCAGAGTCAAATCTTCATTATTATTTTAAGAGCTGTGTTGAGTTTTTACTGAGGTACTAAAATGTTAAAAATACCTGCAGACTAAATTTTACATTAAATTGTTTTTCAACATTTGTTTTCCTTCTGAAATAATTTTAGTCATTTTTTTAACGTTTGGTGAGCCAGATACTTTAATTTCAGTAGAATAATTTTCAAAGGCAATCTTTCTTGAGGATTTGTGTGACCTTTTCGTGCACTTCATCTTTTTTTCATTAGTAAATTCTGTATAAGGAATGTGATTATTTGTCTGAATAATTGCATGTACTATGTAGATCACCCAGCATATTTACCATACACACTTTCCAAGGAGTCACAAGATCAATAATTGATAAGTGATGACATCACCCAGCATGGCTGCATGTTTTGTCTGCTGATTAGGCCTCTCTTGCCTGTGTGTAGTCACACTCAGTCACACATATACATGTACCAGTACAGTCTGCACAGCTCCTATCGTAAAATGCCAGCCACATACATGTACATGTATATAGTCCAACTACCAACATGTCCTTATCTCGATGTCCTTGCGTAAAGGCCAACTGTCTAGACTGTCTAGACAGGCTGGCGTTAATTTGCATTCAAGTCCATAGTTTGCCTGTGGCTTTTGCATAACTAATTGGATGGGGCATGCAGGGGGATTTGGGCTGTCTATGAAACAATCACTCGTATTCTTAAAAAATTAAATGAGTGGATTTATTATGTAGGTGATTCCTGTCAACACGAGACGATATTAATGCATGATTAAATTGAAGTGAATGGACTTTTTTGCCACCGTAAATGAAATCGTTTTCACCAAGTTTTGTTTGTGTTAATGTCTGTCCTGGTAAAACGCTTAATATCAATGTTGACATTATTATGTTTAAAGAAATAGAAAAAAAAAAATACAAATGGTTCTCAGACACAATGAATAATGATTGAGAAAGAACATTTTGGAATATTTGTCAAGAGTAATTTAATTAGTCAAGACTTGGCACAGAGAGTAAACTTGCTTGTGTTCCTGCCCTCAAAAGCACCCCCTTCTAGCTGTGAAATCATCAGCAAAATAACCCGTGGCTCACCTCGTGTGTTCATAATTGTTTTCAGATATGATTTTAGAGTTTGTTCTGTTTTGATTCTGGAATACATCTTTTGTTACTTTAGACCTTCAATATGTTCTGTGTAATGTCAATTTGTGTAAGTTTGTCTTTTTTTCAGTCGGGATGAAAGGGATAAAGTTCCACATGTTCTTTGTAGCATACATTCTGTAGGATTACTTGTTACGATGAACCTTTGGGGTTCTGAAATGAACTTAAAGGTACAGTCCATCATTTGTAATTTGTGCATTTTGTTCGTTTTAAGCAACAAAAATGTTAAAATTCTTAAGAAGGGTACTGAACAACTAACCTGACGAAGTTTCAGCTCAGCTTCAGTGTATTCCAAGAAAAACATCATTCTAGGATCTCGATTTCAAATCAACAGTTGCTGAATCATGTTTTGAATTGGGCCTGAATTCAGCGTCCGAGACACGTTCTCACTGAGCCGATTGCAGCTAGGCGATGTCGCGCACTGATCCGACAAATTATAGCAACCGCGCGCGCCTGTGCATCGTGCAACTGCTGGCGCGCTCTTCGCCAAATAACAAAACGAACTACTAATTTGAATTTCCTACGGTGCGTCTTAAGAAGCGCCGTCGGGAAGGCCTTCTTTTGTTGATTTCTTCAAAATGACAGCTTGCCAGAAAAAATAATTTCACAGGGAGTTTAGTCCCCTTACTATATTTCAACCAAGAATGTTTTTTTACAATAATGATGCCAGTTACTTTTCGGTTAAAGCTGCAAATGATGGACTCTAGCTTTAACGTTGCAGTGGTTGTTCCCCAGGCTCTGGTGGTTGTTTTGTTTTTCCATTTGGCCTATCGATTGTGTCAACCTAATGCTATAGATTAGCACCAGACTATTTTCTTTGAAAACCAAGTCGGCAATGCAGATCAATGGCCTAATAATGTCTGATTTCCTGTCTTTTTCCTTTCCTGTTTTTCTCTCCTCGCTGCTTTGCCACCCACCTCCCCGTTCTTCGCAGAATGTTCCGAGACGTTCACCCAAGCTCCTGGTAAACTGAACCGACTGTTGAATGCTAGTCTCTGGACTACCTGTAAGTTTCACTTCCGTGCGCCTGTCGACTCGTCTGTAGTGCTGAGTGTAACCTCACTGAGAGGTTTTGCCTCGGTAGGTTCTGGGGGGCGTTGCCTCCCAAGACTGATCTTCAAAAACGTTGGACCATCGGGCACGACACACCTCCTGACTGTCCAGGCCATACAGGAAGGAACTTTGCCGATCATTGTGCAATCCTTGGATAATGAACTCAAAGTGGTTTTTCGAGGACACACGTGTACTGAACAGATGAGTAGCTTTGATGCTTCATATAGTTTCCACTCGAGAGTCGGTGAGTAGAAATCTTCTGAGAAAAATACAATTCTTCTGTTATGCTTGAGTGGTGTATAACTCCTGCAAACATTAAAAGCAAGGACAACTGAGCTTGCCACTAACCCTGTTGGGGGAGGGGGGGGGGGGGGCGGAAGGGATGAGCTGAGGGTGTCTGTGCCTCTTCCACTCTTGAGAAAGGGGTGTGCAAAATCATTACAAGAGAAATATATCCCTTTTAAAATATAAATCTTAACACTTTCCAATTTCTACGGCCGTTATTCAAGCTTTTGTTTTATCCCTGCCTAATGTGTACATCAGTTCACTATTCTAGAAAAGAATCTGTATTCGCGTTGTTCAATCACGAAATTAATCCTACACGCGACATCGTGTGTGAATGCACTTATTGTGTAGTGGCCTCTTCAATGACGCCCCAAAAATTCACTTTCAAATACAATTTATCGGTATTTTGTTCAAATGCTTTTTTTTAACTTTTTACTTTGAAAATATCGTCAAAGTCTCATCTTTACTCCGTAGGTGTTTAAAGAAAATCCATCAGTTCAACAAATTTGGCCAAATTCATGAACATAATGAAAGACAAAATGGTTTATCGGAACGGTATTTTTGTGTATCAAAGTTGGGTGCCTGGCTCAAGGAGTGGGCAGTAACGTTGTTCTTGACTAGGAACTCAACGGGATAATAGTGCGGCGTGGCCATGCACAGTTGATTGATCATAAACGGAAGGCAAGCTAGCATTGCGTCACGCCGTGTATTTTGTACACATGTAGACATGTATACATATTTGTACAGTCGTGTACACAGCAGTTTGTACAGTGCTCGCCACAATGTGTGCACGCTTCTGTCAACGAAGGGAATGAGATACGTCCGAACGTTGGTGGCGTGCTTTTGTCGGCCCTCCACCCCCCCCTCCCTACGTTCCCCCCTTTCTCCCCCTTCCCCCTTGCCTTTTACTATAAACAGTGTGGGATTTGAGAGTCAGAGTTCATCATTAGAAATGAAGTCACAAATCTACAAAGATTAAGAGCCAAAGATGACACTCATTCGTGAACATAACTTGGTTTATTATTTTTTTCACTTTATTACTTTACTGAATCCACAATTTGTCACATTTGCCGATTCTATCATTGGTATCGAAAGATACTAGCGAATGGCCAGCATGGTCTGTATATCGTGTGGTACTATCAGTTAGCATCAGTTGGGGAGTCAGGTTGGCGTAGCGGTACTTTCCTCGCCTTCCACCGCTGTGACCCGGGTTCGAATCCCGCCTGGGCCAATATGTGGATTGGGTTTTCAGTCCCTACATGTACCTGCTTCCGTGGGTTTTCCCCAGAATATTCTTCTGGGCTTTTCCTCCCACCTCTAAAACTGTAATTTCTTCTCAATTGTCTTCTCTCCACAGGTTCCTCTAGGCTTGCGAGCTACAGTGCCTAGGGCGCTTTTGAGGAATCCTTGGTTTCATAACCAGAAATGATGAACAATAATAATAAAGTGTGACTGCACTGTGTAACGCAGAACAGCCATGTGCATCGGGAAACACGCTACGGCGATAAAGCATAATGTTACCCAGTGTGCTTTGCGTGCAACTTTTGACCAGCACATCATGCAGATGTGGCTGTTGCATGTAAAATTTGATCAGAGATACCGGTAGTTTTGAATATTCAAATATTTAGTCAAGTTTTCAAATAATCAAATACTAAATTATTTGAAAATGGACAGCCCTACGACCAAGTATGTAGAAGTGTTAACCCCTGGTCACGGGTGCAACATTAGCTCAGAGAATGAGACTGTAAAAGGAAATTTGCTGGCCCTGATGCCTGAGATTGAGCAGTTAGTAATGAGAAAAATCACAGGTCATGATCAGAGTGCTTGAGTCTGTGCTAGTGTTTCAGTGGTGGATGTACTGTACATGTATGCTGACCATTGTAATGCAAGACATGGTGATTTAATAGCAACAAGAGGCACATGGTGCCCTAGACTTAGCCCACGGGTGCCATGCTCCCAAAGAGTGTTAACATGTCATGTCCCACATCACAGCACTTAAAAATTGTTTCTTACAGAACCCTGCTGAATCCAACAGGATCCAACTATGTCACATAGCCGATGGAGCCTGTTGGAATGAGCAGTTAACCCCTTGTGTACATTCCTCATGCAAAATGTTGGATTTAGCAGGCAACTGAACCGCATTATAACACCATGCATGTTGGACTCCGTTGGATTCACCAGACGACTGAAAATGAGGCACAGTGGATTGAACAGGAAAGTCCGGTTGGACTCTGTTGGATTTAGCAGGGTAGTCCTGAGGAAGTGTACTAGGGGGTTAGGGTTAAATTTTCACTTGTCTTTGGTCAATTTCACAAAGCACAATGGTTGTACAAGTAAATGAATTACATGTACATGTACATGTATCTAGGCATCCAATACAGAAATAAAGTCATTCATTGTGAAATAAAACTGGAAGGCAGGTCATGTTAATACAAATTCTTATGTTTTTAAAATTTGGGTTCTGTTTTAATGTTTAAAAAAAAAATCATATCCTCGGACGGGATAACGACAGGGATGACAGTATGCCTTTTATCATGTAGAAATTGCTATGACTTTTAGTCACTGAATTTGAATTTTGTGAAAACACAGTGTTACCAGAAACAGCCAATTACATGTAGTTGACCAATAGCATTTCTGAAGTACCGGTAAACGGTTGCATGACAGACACCAGTAATCCTGAGGTATGCCTGCTTCTGTGGACTGAGGAGAGGCCTGTGGGATCCAACAGTCCAAGCTGGACAACCCTTGCCTTAGCCCCTGCGCTCTGTGATGGGCAGGAAACATGACAAATGAAGATGCTTTGATGCACATCTCTGGCAAGACAGGTAATCTGTTACACACAATCTGCAAAGTGCAGCTGAACTGATCTCAGCATACTGCAATGGCAGCAGAGCGTCTGTTTCTCAGGTGCACTGGCCAACATCTTGTCATTTATGAGGAACGTGACTCATGGTACCATGGTAAATGCCTCACAAAATGGGCCCCATTGGAGTGAAGATGTACAGGTACATATTTTGAGGGAAAACAGCCCAGGAGAAGGGAACAGGGCAGGGAGAGGACTGGAACTAGATTAGTGACTTCGTCCAAAGAAATAAGGGAGGAGGGTTGTAAATGTACCAGTGGGTGTTTGTACATTCCTGTTAGCAGAAAATTGACATTTTTAAACATAGGCCATCAGCCTGGGGGTTTGGTCAGTATCAAATCAGGGCATAAATGATTATAGTGCGCATGCACAAGATACACCGCCCCTAGAGTGGTAACAAAATGGTGGACATCTTGAAAAAAAAGGGTGATAACACCCAAAAAGCTGCCACTTTTGCATTGCTATCACATATTTTCCAACTCTGGAGATGAAAACCTTGCCAAAAATCGCTATGACGATTATTCCTCTCATTTGATACCGGTGGCCAAAATTTTGGACTGTGGCTGAATGCCTTAACACAGGTGGTGTGACTTCAAAAACCGAAAATTCTGCTTCCAGAACATCTGAAAATAAGGGTTGTCCACTTCTGGGGCTTCATACTGTTTGGTACCTCTCATTTATTTAGAAATGTTTGGATTAAAAGTCTCATCCCCCATGTACATGTAGGTTTTGTTTCTAAATAGCTATTTTTCCAGCAATACAAACGTTATTTACATGTACTTTTGAATGAGACATTGAACCAAAAAGTCTGCCCACTTTTACATTTTAGTAACGTGAGTAACCAATTTTGTGCGTCTTGTTTATCATACATAAAACATTTTCTGGATGTCATCTTTGGTGCTTAGGTACATGTACCGGGTAGGTCTAGGTCTACTCTGTCTACCATGGGGATAACAGTTATTAAACCTTTTCAGTAAGGTAATTACAGTCCAAGGAAACTCAAAAGTACATGTACATCAAAAATGTAACGTGAGCAACCGTGGAATTGCCCAAATGTAACTGTTTTGTGTCAAACAAAAGAGGGCAGTATAATCACCTGGCAAAAGTGGCAAAAATGGCAGTTGTGAAACTGAATCAGTCTTCTATTAATCAATCAATTTGATTCTCAAAAAGGAAACATTCTGGTGACGCAGTCTACTGTATTTGCATGTACAGGGTAGTTTATCCCGTACAACCAAGTCTTTAAAGGGGCGAATGATAGTGAGGACTTCATTTGCATATTTCTTAGGTCAGTATTACCACTGTTTAATGGAAGGTTTGTTGACTTTTGCTATGACCATCAACAGAGGGCGCTGTGCTGAAAGCATGCAGTGTTTGGGCATGTAGTCTAAAGCTGCCATTATGCATGCTCTCAAATTTGATACAAAATGGCTTTTGAGACAAATCACTGCAAAGGTGATTAAACTATTTCTTTGAAAATTCACATGCCCAGAATTCATGTCCATTGATTTATATTAAGTGAATACTTGATGAAATGCATGTAGGTAATAGTGAACATGGTTTGTACTTACAAAAAGCATATACCGGTACATACTGTACATGTATTTCCATATCAAAGTAACAAGAAGTTAAGACCGCTAAGATGTTCTAATCAGTTGTCATGGCAATCTCAAACATCCCACGTTATTCTTGTTTTTTGTACATGTAACAGCACAATGTCCAACATTTTATTTTTGTGAACGCACTTGGACAGACCTAATGTGAATGTTTTTCAGGCAATTTAGTTCCTCTATGAGACGGACACAATTAAGTTTAGTCGAGAATCTTTTTGATAAAGTTTAGCATTACATGTACCGGTACCGGTATGTTATGAATAAAGCAGGGAGCGAAACATGTACATGTACATAAAGTTTGGCCTTAATTAATGAAAGAAATGTCGACATTCTTTTTTTGTTCATAATCTGTGAAAGTCCTATTTTACTCCCTGAGAAGGATTTGACGTGCTGTTTATTCTCATTGGACCTGTTTTGTTGTATAATTTTCCTCGTTTTCATGGCTGATAATACTGTTTTTTAAATTTATCAGGTTTTTTTTGC